TGGCCGAAAGGGCTGCGGATGCGGAGCAGAGACTTCCGCTTTGCAGCGAAAATAGGAGTTTTACTTGAGCGAGAAGTCATGAAAACGGTCCGTTTTCCCACTGCTACGTTTCGGTGTCGCGGTCCAAGGGGTGACAGGTCGGCTTGGAGTTGTGGGTCCCAACCTCGAAACAGTCAAAACATCTTCCCCAGGTTTAGAGATCTACCCAGTCAGGAACGATCACATACGATCACATACGATCAGCAAAAGCAGGTCGGGACTGATGTTCTCCGAGATCTACTCCCCGGTCTGACCGGCTGGAAACTGATCGGAGGGAAGCAGACATCCTGCCACTTGGCCAGTCGGTGCATCCCAGACGCTCCGTTCACAGGCCGACTGGTCTCTCAAAACCATACCCTAGGATTCGAACCACTTGTTTGGATGGGGGTTGACCAAAGAACCATTGTCTTACTAAGGATTTTCGCTCTACATCACCAGGTGAACCATTTCCAGGGCATAGGGATTTGAGGTTTCGGACCCCCTCCATAGGTTCGGGTCCGGCCCTGGTCCCTGAACGCAGGGTCCAGGTGCGTCCGGGCATGTCCAATGGCCATGTTTACCCTATCGGCTAGCACTAATGCTTTAATTGTCCGAATCCCGAACAGCTATTATAGTTGTACTCAGGATTTGAGACTACGAAACCAGCTCAACCTTTTTGAACATCGTCGAAAGCCAGGAAGAAGACATGGAAGCGGAACTCCTCAAGCACCCGCACCACCCAGTTCGGGTTGTATAGAGCCCCCAGATCCCATGTGTTGTCCATCCAGTAACTGTCCATCTCCAGGGGGGGGTGCTGGGCTGGCACAAACAAGTGGGTGGGGCAACACCCCGTAACGTTGGTTGAACCTGGGTCAAATGAACAGATTCCTCTTTAAAGGATACCAACCTTCCATGGTTATAGGTAGGGTGAGGTTCTGACCCAAATCCACACCCTAGAAGTCGAGCTTGGCCATATCTTGTCTTAGTGAAGTGTTCAGGAAGTTCCCTGAAAGATGAGGTCCCCAAATGAATCCGACTCGTTTGACCATCCTTTGACTCTCAGAGCTGTGCCGCTGTGCCATCTCTCGTCCGTCTCACCGCCGACGATCCAACGAGAGCTCGCTCAGGAGCTACTAGTGGCGTCCTTGCTTCTAATGGCATCCCCCCTTTGTTACTATAGTCTTAGTAGCTTCTTGCTCCGTTCGTAGTAAGGCCAGGAGCGCCCCGTTGGGTTCGCGTCGCTTCTCGCTCCGGACTCGTGTCGTCCTCAGTCCCCCGCCTTCATCGACTCGGTCGGCCCTCTCCTCGACTCCTGGAGCGGCGAGGTCGTCCGGCGGGTCCGCTGAGCCAATCGAAGGCCGAGGTGTTCCGGCGGACCCCGGCATGGCAGTCCAGCTTCGGTCCACCATCTGTGACCCAATTTCAGTTCAGGGTCCCCCGCAAGCTCAGCCGAAAGACCTGCCCGAGTTGTGACCGAAGTAACGGTCTTTTTAGGTGTCTTTTTAAAGGGTCACTTTGAAGAACCAGGAAGGTCAAACATGGTCGAACCTGCTTTCTGACCCCATCCTTGGTCCAGCTTTTGCACCACCAGGTTCGTGGGGTGGTGGAACACGGCACCCTCGAGGGTGCCGGAATCGGGTCCGGACCCTTGGAAACTGGAGGATTTTCCCGCGGGTGGACCAAAAAGGGTCGACCAAAACGGGTGGACCGAAGCATCGTTGACTGTGTCGATCAGGTCGTGGGGGATCTACAATTGTCCAGGACGGGTGTCTTTGGCGAGGCATTTTGGTGTGGGAGGAGTTCCAGTGGTCGACCCGCACCCAGGTCGCAAAGTGTTGCGAGAGGAAATGAACGGCACGGGGGAAATGCGCCGAGTTATTGGTGACAAACACCAGCACCCAACCTACAGGTCTCCGCCATGGAGGGTTGGGAGTTGGGCTCTGTTGGAGGTCGAACCAGACAGGTGACTGGTTTGTCGTCGGGTGCAAAACCATGTGTCGATTCTGAACGCCAACGCACGGAGGAGCACCTGTCATCCGTTGTCCTCAACGTCCTCCGGTGAGGTTTCATACCCGACTCACTAAGGGTAGAAATGGATGGCCGGGATGAGCAGACTTCCACAAACAGGTGGTGCCATCCACTTCCATGTGAAGTCAGAGTGGTTACTGGGACTGACATATGTGCCCATCATGGAGGTCGTTTCAGGGGTCAAGGTGTCTTGGGTCATACCCAAACACCTAGCGCTTCATCGCTTTCCAACTACCCTCATTGGCTAAAACATGTGTGTCCTGGCTGCTTTCACCTCTTCAGGTGGACGTTTCAGACATGGAAAACGCCTCATGCCAAACACGACTAATGGGACTGCACATGTGGCCTACAAACCTGTTAGGTTTTGAGGCTATGGCTATAAATGTAGGCCATATTGACGCCACCATGGAGCATTTGGGCAATCGTAACCACCCAAAGCGTGCTTGACAACCCGAAATGGGTGGTGCTAGTGCTCTCTTTCGCACGCTGCGAAGAAGTCAGCAGGCCATTGCTGTGTGGAAATAACATAGATCAAAGCGGCACACTCCCTCGCGCCCTTTTTGACGTTTGCACTGCGGGCATTGACATTCCTTTGGCTGATAGCAGGCCGGATGCGATGGCATAGATCCATCTGCTCGAAGGACTGATCGTATCCTCGTATCCAACTGGTAGTCCTTAGGTCGGATCGATGACTGATCCGAAGGACTGCGTCGACGGTTCTTCCCGGCACCTGTTCCCTCCAGGTGTTTTCTTTGTCTGTTCCGTTCCCCAGCGGAGGCCGGGAACGGGAAGCAATTCCGCGCCGTGTCTTTCTTTCGGATCTCGCACATGGCTGCTGGGGGACGAACAAAACGAGCCAAACAGAAGCCTTGGTGCCAGGAGCATCCTGTCTGATTTTCCTGGCTGGACTACCCTGCACTACTATCCGGGATGTCCGTTGGACACACTGACAGGGTGGCCCAGTTGTGTAGAGAAAAGGATGCCCTAGGTCGTGCATCTTGATCCCCAGCTTGTTTGGATGAGCCTTGAACACCAAGAAACATAGAAGCGCGGTTACCAACACCACCCAATTTGGGTGGTTTATAGACCCACCTGCCATGTACTTCACTATCCAATAACCACCGATCTCCTGGGTGGTGCTGGTAGAGGGGATTTGGTTTCATGATTCTCAGGTTCCCAAATGAGCGGCTTCAACTATACTTTTTGTATCATCCTAGTTTGCTTTTGCAGGGGCTTTCGCAGAGCTTTCGCGACCTGCGATTTGGCCTTCACGAAAGCATGTGAGTTTACAGTTTGTGCACTTTTCATCATAACTTTTGAAGTTGTGCAAATGATATTTTTATGGACTTTTAGCCCACTCCTAAAAACCCAGTCCCAACTGGATGTTCCACAAACAATATATTATGAGCAGTATTTTCTGGACACCCAAACAACCATGCAGAAACCAATGGATGTTCCAATATGGCAGTTGAGTCTTTTTACAACATCCATCCCATGTGGTCCGTGGCTGGGAACTGGGCATCCAGAACTGTTTCGGGACGGGGTTTCCAGGTTGTAAAGGATTTGAAGTGCCACAGTGGCTCCCAACCAGAATCTGCTTCGGACCAGGGTTGCGCTTGCTCCCTCCCAACGTGGCTCGCCGGGGAACCGACACAGTCAGGACGTCCCACGAAGCCAAAGAAGAGACAGAAGATCCAACTAGCCGGAGAGTCATGGTCTTTCGATGGCCCGAGTTCGGGATTTGCCTGAACACTTGGGTATCTTGGGTGGTGTCAACAAATAGTCGAACTGGACTTCTAGGGAATAGAGCTTCCTGCAATCTATAGTACTGTTTACACTCACTTCGTTTGCTTTCAGATCGCCATCCGCATGGCGGCGCCGCCATCAGTCTCTCACTCGCCCGACTCGCGTCGCGTTCGAGGCGTCGGGTCGCCGCTCGTTCTCCGCTGGGGTCGGGCGGAACGAGGTGTGGTGGCGGGCGGATCGGTGGCGCGCGATCCGAGGGATGCCGAGGGATGCCGGCCTGGCCGTCGGCCCATGGACCCCCCGTGTCAAATCCCGAAAAGCTGTCGACTGAGAGGACTTAGTCGGACGACCAAAGCACCAAACCGGGTCATCCATTTGAAAAGAATGATCTTGGACAGCTAGGGTAGGCTTCGGGCCCACCATTGATTTAATGGGTCTTGGCCGAACTACGCGTCTTTTATTATGTTTTACTAAGGACTTTTCGAACTCTCTTCATCCTGGAAATCTAGTCCCAACCAGATTCATGGTGGTTCCAATATGAAAATTGAGATCTTTTACGAAGAAGTGGTTCTTTGGGGAAACATCCAGAACTGTTTCTGCTTGGGACCGGGTTTCCAGGCATAGCCTGTCTTGGCAGCTTATGGCACCCGGATGGCCTAGGCGGACCTCTGTTGGCCTCCAGGTGGGAGTCCCTACCTACACTTCTCAAAAGTTATATACAGATCCAGCACCTTCCAACAGGTCTCCTGTTAGTTGCAGCCCTAGTTCAGACTTGTTAGTTGTAGCTTCTTGTTACTAGTAGCGATGGCCTCCAACCTAATAGCAATGGCCTCCACCTAGCTTCTTGCTACTATAGTAGCTCCTTGTTACCTAGTTCAGGATTGGATGTCATTGAACATTTTGTGAGTACAGGTGAGTAGTTCATTAGTTTACTCTCCAGCTGGACCCTTTCTTGCACGCAAAGATCTTTTGATTGTAGGCCTAGAAAACGGGGAAATAGACGCCCCCAAACAGCCATGTCCCGTGAAACGGTACTGAGGGATGGGGATTGAAAAGGGAAACGACAAACACTTGATCCGCTGATCCTGAAGGCCGCACCACCTCGCCAAAACGAGGAGCAGCGATGCACTCGCTCCCCACTGTCGGCGCTTTTTCGTCTCCCAGGCGCCGATGCTCTCGCGTGGCGTTTTCGACAGGGTTTATGGACACCCGAAATCCGTGGTGCGAACGCAACAATACTAGGGATTGGTGAGAACCCCCACACCCATCCACACCCCACACCTTTGGACGAAGGGTCTGGTCCCCACGAAACTCACGAGTCTTTCATGTCAACCCCATCAACTCAATTCCATGCTTGGCTCTTTGCTCCACCAAAAAGACGACCCTTCAAAGAGACGACCCTCGTTGCTCCGTGGTGGTCCGTGGCGGGCAAGTGGTCTTGGTAACTGTCTCCCTTAGTCTGTTCAACGAATGCTCATGTTGGATCTGCTCATGTTCGCAACTTGGTCAGCCTGGAAGGTTTCAAGGGACGAGCGGTCATGACAACGAAGACTCTCGTCGAGCTGAAGGCTCCACTGGATCCGCCAACGATGGACATCGGCCCCACACGTTCGACCGAAGAAGGGTCGCTTTGTTGGAGCAAAAACACGAACTCACAGCCAACCAATGTCCATCATTGAACCCGGGCGCCGTCACTCAACTGCGCTACTCTGGGCAAAAGCCAGGCCATCTTTACATATCGATTTCAGTGAACTAGTAAATTGGAGCGTGAACTACCAAGATGGCCTCCATCTTCATATCTTCTGCCAAATGGACTACTCTTCCAGCAGTCACAAAGGGGTGCGATCCATGGAGGTTAGGGGTGCCCAGCTACTCCACTCACTGGATGGGACCAAACACCTGGAGGACTTCTACCTGGAGTTCCCTTCTTCCTCCCGAAACCGGTTCCACCTGCAACCGCTTCCGGCCAACCTCATCGTCATGGATGGACCCAGAGAAAATCGACCGTGACGACCGGCGGGCTCGGACAAACACCAAACGCTCACGGATTCCGAAGTGGAACGGCCCTGGAAAAGTCGTGTTTTGGGGGGTTGGTTCTTACCCTAGGGCTCCTGGCCCATATCCTCAGGTTCGGTGGTTAGACCGTCCTGGCACCCACCCCAACCATCTTCTCAGGAGGTGGTTGGAGCCCTAGGGTTAGTAGCTTTTTGTTCCTGCCCAGGAGCTAAAGTTCGTTTCTTCTTGCTCCGTTCGAAAGCGATGCTCTTTGTTACGTTCGTAGCTTCAAGCAAGGGATTCAGTGATTGTCTCACCTCAAGTCTCGCCGTCGCCCAGCGCGTGAGAATTTCAGCCAACCGTTTGCGTCCTCCCTCTAAGCGGCTTGGACGTTGCACGAGGCGGCGGGGGCGCGATCGGCTTTGACCATGCATCGACCGGTGAGTGAAACGGTTTGGGGACTGCAGCACACAACTGCAGACACTCGGATTGGCACTTGGAGACCCATACCCCGGACACTCCATCATGGGACTGGCATAGATG